TTCAAGTCACTGCCCCGAGATAATTAAAGGTTTTATCAGTGTCTGCCGAACTTTCCAAACTTCAAACAGGCACGGTGATAGGAATGTACAGAAGGTGACATCTCAGGTCAGACACCGAATTACAGGTGTGAGGCCTTGTTCAGAATCTGTCTCAGAGTTTTAACTTGGAATCAGGCAGGTTTTATTCTGAAAGCAGGAATTTATAAAATGCCACACTGCCTGACTGTGACTACAAGTTGCGTGTTTCTTGAACAAAATAGAATGTATCTGCAAATAAACATCTTGGATGGAATTATTCACCCCATCGGTTTGTGTGTGTGTGTGTGTGTGTGTGAGAGTGCGTGTGAGAGTGTAATAAGTAATCCAAAACTGTACAAACTAATTAAGGTAGAGAGATCATAACAAGTTATTAAGATGATGCTGTCAAAGCAGCACAGTAAGGAAGATTTTACAGATACAGAATAGTGAGGTGGGGTCACACGTAGCGTGACATGAACCCAAGATCCCAGTTGAGGCCGTCCCCATGGGGACTGAACTTGGCTATCAGCCTCTGCTCGGTGACTCTGTGTTATTGTATATCACAAAGTCCACTTGGAGGACGTTTACCTGAAGATCTGAAGCCAAATGTCCTTGGCCGATGAAGTGTTCCTCCACTGGGAGGGAACATCTCTGTCTGGTGATTGTTGAGCAGTGTCCATTCATCCATTATCATAGCATCTGCATAGTTTCACCGATGTACCATGCCTTGGGGCATCCTTGCCTACAGTGTATGAGATAGACAACGTTGACCAAGTCACATGAGTATCTGCAGTGTACGTGATGGGTGGTGTTCCCATGTGTGACGGTAGTGTCCATGTCAATGGTCTGACATGTCTAGCAGAGGTTACCAGCTTGATCCGCTGCAGTCTATGTGCTGTAGGTTGACCCACAATGCCCTTAGGGAGGGAGTTCCAGTTTGACCCAGTGACACTGAAGGAACACTGATATATTTCCAAGTCAGGATGCTGTGTCTTGGAGGGGAACTTACAAATGGTGGCATTCCCATCTATCTGCTGCCCTTGTCCTTCTAGAATGAAATGGTCGTGGGTTTGGAAGGTCCTGCCTGAGGATCTTTGGTGAATTTCTGCAGTGCATCTTGTAGATAGTAAGCACTGCTGCTACTGAGCGTCGGTGGTGGAGGGAGTGGATGTTTGTGGATGTTTGTGGATGTGGTGCCAATCAAGCGGGCTACTTTGTCCTGGATGGTGTCAAGCACTATTCCATTCCACTCCTGACATGTGCCTTGTAGATGGTGGACAGGCTTTGGGGAGTCAGGTTATCCACTGCAGGGCCCCCAGGCTCTGACCTGCCGTTGAAGCCACTGTATTTATGTGGCATGTGATTTGAGCTTCTGGTCAATGGTAACCCCCAGGATGTTATTAGTGAGAGATTCAGGAATAGTAATGCCATTGAATGTCAAGGTTCAATGATTAGATTCTCTCTTCTTGGAGATGATCATTGCCTGGCATTTTTGTGGCATGAATATTACTTACCACTTGTAAATCTAAGCCTGGATGTTATCCAGATCATAAAAACTGAAAGAACTGTGGATGCTTAAATCAGGAACAAAAACAAAGTTGCTGGAAAAGCTCAGCAGAACGCTGAGGAAGGGTGACTGGATCCGAAACATTAACTCTGATTTTTCCTTCACAGGTGCTGCCAGACCTGCTGAGCTTTTCCAGCAACTTTGTTTTTGTTATCCAGATCTTGTTGCGTTTGGACTTGGAATGCAAAGAAATGAAATAAAAACAAAGATACTGGTACAGAAACAAATAGAGATGGCTACAGATATAGATGGAGATGGAAATCCAGAAAGAGACAGGTAGAAAGAAGAGAGCAAGAGGGAGGTAAAGACAGAAAGAAGGTCTGAGAGAAGTAAATACTGAAAGGGAGAAAGAGGGAATGTTAAAGGCAGAAATGTAATTGGACAATGATGTGGAGGTGTAATTTCGAACTATTGCTGCTTCCCTACTAATACTTAAAGCGTTCTTAAAAAAAATGTTTTAGCTGGCATATAGATGCATGAATCCCCAGAGCCGGATGAGATGTATCCCAGGCTGCTACGGCAGGTGTGGGAGGAGATTGCTGGGACGCTGGCGGAGATATTTAATACTTTGCTGGTCACAGATGAAGTGCCAGGTGACTGGAGGACAGCTAATGTGGTTCCTTTGTCCAAGAAGGACAGCAGGGATAGGCCGGGTAATTACAGACCAGTTAGTCTGACATCAGCGGTAAAGAAATGGTTGGAAAATATTCTAAAGGACAGGATTAATCATTACTTGGAAAGGCAGGGATTGATCGGGGATAGTCAGCACGGATTTGTTAGAGGGAGATCCTGTCTGACCAGTTTAATTGAGTTTTTTGAAAAGGGGACGAAATACATTGATGAGGGTAGCGCAGTTGATGTGGTCTAAATGGACTTCAGGAAGGCTTTTGAGAAGGTCCCACATGGAAGGCTGGTCCAAAGGGTAAGATCCCATGGGATCCAAGGCAAGTTGGCAAAGTGGATCCAAAAGTGGCTTTCAGATAGGAAGCAAAGAGTGATGGTGGGGGAAGGGAGATCCTTTGTTGGGGACCGGGGAATTGGAAGTTCTGGAGGAGGTGGAGGGCATGTCATGGACGTAGGTGGGGAGTTCCTGGACTAAGGGGGAGAAAATGGAGTCGAGATAGGTGGAGATAAGTTCGGTGGGGCAGGAGCAGGCGGAGACAATGGGTCGACCAGGGCAGTCAGGTTTGTGTTGTTGGGGGACCATTTTCTGAAGAAGGGTCTAGGCGCGAAACATCAGCCTTCCTGCTCCTCTGATGCTGCTTGGCCTGCTGTGTTCATCCAGCTCTACACCTTGTTATCTCAGTGATGGTGGGGGGATGTTTTTGTGATTGGAAGCCTGTGACCAGCAGTACACCACAGGGATCGGTGCTGGGACCCTTGCTGTTGTGTACATTAATGACTTGGGTGTGAATGTAGAAAGTTTAATGAGTAAGTTTGCAGAGGACATGAACAATGGTGGTGTTGTTGATAGTGAGGCAGCAGGCTGCAGTCTGAGATCATGGGGCAAATTGGGCAGAACAATGGCAGGTGGAATTTAATCTTGTTAAGTGCAAGGTGATACATTTTGGGAGGTTTAATAAGGGACTGATATACATAATGAATGATAGGTCCCTAGGGAGCACTGAGGAATAAAAGCTGAGAGGTATCCGATTGAAGTATACTAAAATTGTGAGAGGCAGAGACAGCGTAGATCAGTCTACGATCAGAGAGAATAGGTTTAAGATGATAAGCAAGTGGTTAGAGGAGAAAGCTTTTTCACCCAGAGGATGGTAGAAATATGGAACGTGCTGCCTGAGAGGGTGGTGGACCAGATACTCTCGCAACACTTAAGCAGCATCTGGACAAGCTGTTAAAATGCCAGGACACAATAGGCTATGGACCAAAGTGCAGGTAAATGGGATTAGTGTAGTTTGGTATTTGCTGGTTAGCATAGACACGATGGGCCAAAGGGTGGGATTGAGCATGAATGCACCGAGAGTTTGCCAAGGAACAGCACTGGGCAAGAAAATCCCCTTCGCATTGTCTCAGGAACTCTGGAGGTGATATTACAAACGCACTTTAGTCCAGTGTGTCATGACAGTTTCCAAAGCGACATCCTAACAACTGCATCACATATCGTATTGGACAGTTATCAAATGAATTAGAATATCATGGAAAGACCAGCTTAAGAAATCATTCGGAGCAAATCTAGATATTCCTTTGCAAGTTGTGTCTCATTGCTTCATTCACAGAATCTTCTTCTTCACAATGTGAAATTTTCCATGATTTAATTCATTCTTTCAAGGAATGAGGGTGTTTTTGGCAAGACTGATAGTTTTGCTCTTGAACGGAATCCCTTGCTCAGCTATTTCAGGGGGAAGATAAGAATCAGCCACATTACTGTGGGTCTGGAGTTACATGTAGGCCAGAACCAACAGATTTCCTTCCCTAAAGGACATTAGTGAACCAGATAGGATTTTCCTATAATTGATGACCATACCCCAGATCAGTTTCCAATTTCAAATTTATTAATGGATTTGAAAACTCTCCACCTGCCATGGTGGGATTTGAACCCATGACCCCAGGTCATTAGACTGGGTGTCACAATGACATGGATACTATGATGCTGCCTCCCTCATGAGAAGGGCTGAATGGCCTCCTTCTGTGTGGTATTCCCACAACGCTGTTGTCTCCTCCCTATTAATGTGCCGACACTCTTCAAACATATGTGGGATTTGAACCCATGTCTCCAGGTCATAAGTTCAAATCTGACAATGGCAGGTGGAGAGCTTTCAAGTCCATTAATAAGTTTGAAATTGGAAACTCATCTAGGTTATGGTCATTAATTGTAAGAAAACATTTTCAAACAAATGTATAAACATTTGTGATCTCTCTCACCCCTCCCACTATTTGGAATAGTGTATCCAGTTCCAGTCACCCTGCTACAGGAATGATGTTATTAAACCCGAAAGGGCACAAGAAAGATATACATGGATGGAGGGTTTGAGTTGCAAGGAGGGGCTGGATAGGCTTTAGCTTTTTCCACCAGAGCATAGGAGGTTGAGGGGTGACCTTATAGAGGTTTACAAAATCATGAGGGGTATAGATAAGGTGAATGGCAAAGGTCTTTTCCGTAGGGTAGGGGAGGTTTAAGTTGAGAAGGGAAAGATTTAAGAGGGATCTTTTTCATGCAGAGGGTGGTGTGTGTATGGAATGAGCTGCCAGAGGAAGTGGTGGAGGCTGGTACAATTACAACATTTAAAAGGCATCTGGTTAGGTACATGGGTAGGAAAAGTGTGGAGGGATATGGGCCAAATGCAGGCAAATGGGACTAGTTCAGTTTAGGGAACCTGGTAGGCAAAGACGACTTGGGCCGAAGGGTCTGTTTCTGTGCTGTGTGACTCTCCAACTCTCTATTACTACCCCCCCGCAGAGCTGTGGATGGTACAAACGTGGAGAAAGAGGAGGAAATTGAGTTGAATGAAGATGGCCAGCCGGTGAAGAGTGCGGTCCTGAAGCAGCCGTTGTGTGATTGCTACTGCTTTGGAATGCCCAAGCGGTACATCATTGCCATCATGAGTGGACTCGGATTCTGCATCTCCTTTGGCATCCGCTGCAACCTGGGCGTGGCCATCGTGGAAATGGTCAACAACAACACTGTCTATGTGAACGGCAAGGCGGAGATTGAGGTAGGTGTTGTACAAACTCAGCTTTCCTTTCTTTATTCATTCATTCACAAGGCGTGGGCCCAGCTGGCTAGTCCCACATTTATTGCCCTTCCCTTAGCGCCCTTGAGGAGGTGCTGGCGAGCTGTCTTCATGAACCACCACAGCCTCCCTGAACATCTAACAAAGGGAGAAGGACAGAGGAACTGGGAATATCTGGCATGTTGTTTTCTTGAGTAGGCCACATTCCCGCTTAAAGGAGCCTCACATTTCAGTCAGTATCCATGGATCCTCGGACAGGCACAGGGCGAGAGCTCTTTGTGTCATTGGACTTGTTGCCTGTTCTACATCCCCTTGATTGATGCCATCCCACCTGAGGAATAAAGAGCCACCCTCCTCATGGAGTTTGAAGAGCTGTTCAACATTAACAGAGCAGAAAAGCATAAGAAAGAGGAGCAGGAATAGGTCATTCGACACTGTGATGCTGCTCTGCCATTCAATAAGATTATGGCGGATCTGATTGTAACCACATTCCCACCTAACCCTGACAACCTTTCACCCCCTTTCTTAACAAGATACTATTCAGCACTGCCTTAAAAAAAAATTCAAAACCTGTGCGTGAGAGAGTATAATCTCACAGCGGGAGATTGTCCATTTAAGACAGAAATGAGGAGGAATTTCTTCCCTCAGAGGGAAGTGAATCTGTGAGATCCTTAACAGCAGAGGGCTGCAGACATTGGGTCATTGAGCATATTCAAGGCTGAGGTAGATGTTTGATCAGTAAGGTCGTTAAGATTTAGAACAAAAAAGCAAGAAAGTGGAGTTGAGGATGATCAGATCAGCCATGATTCATTGAAGGGTAGAGCAGACTCGATAAGCCAAATGTCCTGCTTATGCTCCCACATCTCATGATCTTATGGTCTTAAGCTTTCCGCCACCTTTTTCATGAAGGGCGTTCCAAAAAACTCATGACCTTCTGAGAGATAAAAGTTTGCCTTATCTCTATTTTAAATGGGACGCCCCTGATTTTTAAATAGTGCCTCGTAGGCCCCAGTTCTAGACTCTCTGCTTCTACACCTGGCCCCTTCTCTCATTGAGACCAATACTCCAGTGACTCTCAAAATTACGGAAACATTTAAGAGGAGGTGAGATAAATACATGAAGGAGAATTGAAAAGAGGGATTTGCTGAGATAAACTAACATTAGAGGAGATTTGTATGAAGAATTAATCTTAATTCTCAGAAATGTCAGAGGGCAGTTCAGAATTAACCACCTTGAACATAGAACATAGAACAGTACAGCACAGTACAGGCCCTTCGGCCCACGATGTTGTGCTGAACTTTTACCCTAAACCTATCTAACCTCCACCCCTACCTTATACTATCATCCGTATGCCTATCTAATAGCCACTTAAATGCCCCCAATGAGGCCGACTCCACTACCCTCTCCAGCAATGCACTCCACGCCCCGACCACTCTCTGAGTAAAGAACCTACCTCTGACGTCTCCCCGATATCTACCTCCACTCACTTTAAAACTATGCCCCCTCGTAATAGCTACCTCCACCCTTGGAAAAAGTCTCCGGCTGTCCACTCTATCTATACCTCTGATCATTTTGTACACCTCTATCAAGTCAAGTCACCCCTATCTATCACCTTGATGTGGTTTTAGAGTCACATGTGGGTAAGGATGGCAGATTTACTAGAGAGGACAGCAAACCAGATCGGTTTTTAGCGATGTCCTGGTGGAATCATATTGTTGCTAGCTTTTTAAAAATGGTATTTCATTAAATTTAGAATTCCTAGATGCTCTCCAGCTCCTTAGACAACCAGCCCAATGACATACCCGCTACACTACCACACTCTCTGCATAGATGTAGTAATGGAACAACAACATTTCTAAGAGCCCTTCTCAAATCTTTCAGTGGGGTTGGAAAGTTGAGTTTGGGGATTGCTGGCTCTGTCATACAAACAAGGAACAAGAGCAGGCCACTCGGCTCTTTGAGCCTGGTTCATGATTCAATAAGATCATGGTCAATCTGATTTTATCCTCAACTCTACGTTCCTGAATAACCCGATAATCTTTCATCCCCCGGTCATCAAGAATCCAACTATCTCTGCCTTAAAAATATTGAAAGATTCTGCATCCACTGCCTTTAGAGGAAGGGAATTCCAAGGACTCAGAGCCCTCTGAGAGAGAAAGCAGACCAAGATTCTCATTCTAGACCAGTCCCTGCTTGAGGAAGGTTCCTGCTCACACATATCCTTCAACAGTACTTTCTAAGCCCACAACCAGGGAGAAAAAAAACAAGCTCAGCAAGCACTTGGGAATCCCACCATCAGCAAGTTTCCCTTCAATAATTATAATGTTTCCATATTTCTAGAGACTTTGGGGAGAGAGATGGAAGATGAGCCATGATCACCTTGAATGGAAAAGTATGCTTAATGAGTCAAATGGCCTTTTCCTGCCTCTATTTCCTATGTCGCTAAGTCACACACCATCATGACTTGGAATTATATTCCCTGTTGTTGCATCAATATCCTGGATACCCCTCTTTAAGAGCATCCTGGGTGCAGTTACTAGACACAGGGGTCAATGATTTTAGACTTGAGGCTCATTACCACTTTCTCAAGGGAATTAGGGATGGGCAATAAATGCTGGCCTGGTCCTCATCTCGAGAACAAATTAAAGGAAAAACGAATTAAATATCTTTGACAGGTTGTTTCTGGAGGATATCTGAATTCATTCTGAATATAACATGTGTGGGAAGTGATTCAGACAATCTAATTTGTACCCTGTAATAGTGATTTCACAAGGAGGGGACCCTGTCATCTGGTAAATATGAAAGAACAGGCATATTATCTCACCCTACGCTCAAAGACATTAAAACTTCCTATCCCCCCCGCTGCTGTATCCCAAATATTTATGCCCAGCTGTGTGTAAAATAAAATGGACAGGAATAGAACTTGCCAGCACCTCTTTCAAGTTCACTGGACCTTTAATTCATTTACTTTAGCTGTAATGAGATTTGCTGAAATGTTACAGGAATTAAAGGATGCCTGTTGGGAGTTTGCTGTGTTTTAACTGGAGGAGGCTGTGGGTGAGCAGCTGTTTGATGGGTAAATGAAACTCTTTGGTTCCACTGCACATTATGCTAACAAAAGCCTGCTTCAAACAATAATCTAATTAAATGGAATTATGTTGTGAGCAGGACTACGGTAATTCTCTCGTTCTGCTCTCTTGTTTCAGAAACCTCAATTCAATTGGAATCCTGAGACTGTAGGGCTGATTCATGGCTCCTTTTTCTGGGGTTATATTGTGACTCAAATCCCAGGTGGCTTTATCTCTAACAAGTTTGCTGCAAATAGGTAAGATCTTTCACCACTTAAGAACTTAATCGGCCTTTCGGCCCCTCACCCCTGTTCTGTCATTCAATCAGATCTGGGCTGATCCACCTCATCTTTGCTACCCTGTGTCATTCTAACCTCTTGGTAAAAGGGTATTGCTATTGCTAGGAACCCTGAGACACAGGTAACATTCTAAATTCACAGGTTTATATCCCACTACGCCAGATGATGCAATTTGAACTCAATTTTAAAAATTGGAAATAAAAGTCTAATAATAACCAATTAACCTTTGTTATCATAAAACCATAGTTGGTTCACTAATGTCCTTCAGGGAAGGAAATCTGTTATCTCCACCTGGTCTGGCCTACATGTGACTCCAAGCCCACAGCAATGTGATTGA